TCTGCAGATAGCGCCTTACTCAGAGGCAGCAGAGCAGATTGATCTCTAAAGACTCTTAAAAGGTTTTTCATTGGAAAAATAGTAGCGCGGCAGCCGGGTGGATAATGAGCGGCGCAGGCCGCGCTGCCAGCTGCTCCTCCAGCGCTCCAGATGGCTCCTCCTCAGAAACCGGCATTTGATCTCGGCAATCTAATCATCTCCCCCATCACAGGCCTAAGCAAGGCAAGGCCGCTATGAAGAGACCACCTGTTTTGTTTGACCCACTGAGATGGCTTTCAAAGCCAAAACGAACCCGCTTTCAAGGCGCTCCACCTGCATCCGCACTAACCACCTCCAGTCCTTTTACACCTTTTTTGCTGACACGACTTGCCACCCTCGGCCGCTGCCTGCAGTTTAAAGGACTGTTTAAACTCTGTTAAAAGTCCAGGCTTTGGCCCATACTTGGCCGCTGAGCACTTCAGCACACAGCAGGTGCCTAAATCGGTAGCTCCCACTAGTGGAAATGAGACCCTCGCTCAGGACAGCGTTGTCATGAGGCTGACCACCCCAGAGCACTTCACACGCTATCGAAAAGCATTTCTACCCCATTACTCATAGCAGTGCAAGCCTTGTGTCCCACTGCAGTCTCCTAGGACCACACCTGGACATTTTTACAGGCCTCAGGACAAGGCCAGGAACTGATATTTTCTTCATTTTCTCAGAGACAAAACGTGCTGTCCTCCTGAGTCCAGGTGGACGTTCACTCCATCCTTCGGATGGAAGGAGGCCGTGCCTGGCATGCTCGCCCCAGGCTCACACGGACATCGGGGGGGATTTCACCACAGGAATCTCTTACCTACATAGCTGTTCTGTAGCTTCAAGGAGAAAAATGAAACAAGTCGACCCTGCCAGTCTCCAACTGAAAAAAAGAAACCATAACACTAGCGATTTCTCAAAACTTTCAGAAAATCTTGAGCTTTGGCAGTTTAAACTGGCCAACAGGAGTCTTCAAAAGTCACTTCTGCCAGTACTAATGGGCCCTTAACCCAGCATACAGAAGAAGAATCCTTTTACTACTATGAATAGAGGATTTCAAGTGTATAAATCCTCTAATATAAATCAATATATTTATAATCTATACTTATAAACCTTATATAAAGTTTAGTTTTGGTCCCTCAAACTTACTCGCAAGAGGCAATGAAAGTATTACAATTAATCAGAGGAAACAATCTATGCTAGTAATAGCTGGCTGACATCTGAGATATAAACCCCAATTTCATCATTTCGCAGTGGAATTACTGTCTCATTGGAATTTAGCACCAACCTTCATCACCCACTCAACTTTTACTTTCATTAAAGAACTGTACTTTTATGTCACAAACTAGGCCAAGTGTGCAGAGAACAAAATAACTTGCTGAAAGCCATGGAGAATGACAAGGAATTAAGAGATGGGACGGGAAAACTGCAGCAAAAAGTCTACAAGGTTTATCACAGTTTGGGAGAGCATCTGTCTGAAGAGAAAGCTAAGTAACTAAGTAAACAGCACTATGGCCCAGAGAAAAGAGACTCCTCAGATTTTAATTGAATCATTATTTATAAATAAATGGATAAACTCAAGAATAGTAAAGAACAGATGAAACTCAAGAATAGTAAAAAACAGATGAACTGAAAAATTGAGTGTTCATAAATTTATCATAATATAGGTAGCATTCACCAAATAAGGTAGTGTGGGCTGAAGCAAAACAGGGCATGCTTTTGAATTATATTGTGGAATTATTAGACATAGGATGCTGTTGAAGCCAGATACACCCATACATTAAAAAAAGAGGGAGAAAAAAAAAAAAGGAATTTTTTCTGTGAATTTGCCTATTCTAGCAAGGGCTACTGCTTGCATGCCATGATGCAGGCACTACCTCCCTCCTAGGAAATCCTCCCAATTCCAAACGCCCACCATCCAGCACTGTTGGACAGGAGCCACTCTCGTGATCGAGTCTCAAACATCCCTTAGCCCGTGCTGAGCTCACTTACAGTAACAGGGAATTATGCCCGGCTCGAAGGCAGCAGCTTGACCAGACCCTCTCCTATTTTTACTCAGCAGAGGTGTGACAGGAGCATACCTGGACAGATGTTCAGATCATTGCAATAGGGACTACTGCACACTCTGCAAACCTGGTCCATCATGTCAGACAACCGCCTTGCAAGGGACATTGGTGCCCTCCTCCTCCTCATCACATCCGAGCTCCTGCAGCCTTTTCAGTTCTGACTTCACAGGCTGCGACCACTTTTTCTTGTTTGCAGAACATGATGTAAGCGTGACCTTCTTGAAACAGCCTCTATCATATCGGTTTTGCAGAGTTAAAAGATAACCTTTTACAGCTATGAAATGTCAGCTTGGAAATACTAGCTTTTATTAAACCAGAAGATTAAATAATACAGGTGACTGTCGCTTAGGCACTGCAATTCCATACCTATTTTCATGTTGCTGCTGCTGCTGTTGAAAAGCATTTTGCTCTAAAAGCCATTTTCAAGATTTATTTTCTCTTTCAAAGAGAGAGATTATTCAATTACCTTTTGCTTTATGCCTTACTGTACTATAACAAAATGAAAGTAAAAGATTTTACCAAAATTTGTTTTATAAAGAAGTGCAATTTATACGTCTTCTATGTATAAAGCAGTTACTGTCATGCAACTTCTGAAGTTCTCTGTAATTGCTATACATGAAAAAAATGTACTTTACTTGAAAACACATCTTTTAAAGAGTGCTGAGTATATCATGAGAAAGCAGTAATTTGGGACACTGAATGAGTATGACATATCCAGGTTAAATTAGACTAGAAACACTAGAAAACTTTGAAAAGACTCAGTGGCAGCTCATTTACAAATATACTATTTATAATGAATGCATTGATACAGAATGACTCTTATAAAAAAAGCAAGGCAATCTTTTATATAGACATAACAATCAACATTACAATAATTCAGATTAAAAGTACATTTTTTGTAGACTGTTTACACTCTTGTATAGCTTTTAACCACAAAGTTAGTGTGGTCTTCTATTTTCCACAGCAAATTCCTGTGCAGTCCTGGTTAAGACCTAAACATCAGAATAATAAACATAATTTTCTGATCTTTGCTAGCATAAAACCAAAAACTGTTAGATACCACTTGCAGATACTATCATTTGTTTGTAATCGTCTTTACTGTGCCTTGAGTTTGTGTGCTGTGCAAATTACTGCCAACTGCACATCTAATTAAAAGCAATTCTGGCATGCCCATTCCATACAACTGAGGTGTGATACTGACTGTACAAAAATACTTAGCTGCATCAAGATATGAAGACAAACCCTCCTCTGATATGAGTGTGTACTGATTCAGAAATTAGTTTTTTATAAAAGGAGAAAATAACATCTGATAAAGTTTGCTAATTTTTAAATAAAAGGTATTTTTAAAAACTTCCAGGATTAAAGACGGTACTTGAATTTCAGGTGACAGAAGGGGTTTAAGTGCTAACCAGTTAGACAGTGTAATGTTTTACTAACCATGTACATGAGCAAACACAACCTTCAACAAGTCTGAACATGCACTTTCTCACACAACATTAGCGAAAAATGGTCAAAACTGCAGAGAAACCCTCTAACCAAGGGAGGCACTGAGGCAAGTATTCTACAACACAAAACTTTCTAAAAAGGGAGTATGAATTCAAAAGTCTCCAACAGCATGTGACAAACAAATAAGGGCCAATTACATAACTCTGTGCCCCAACTTTACATGCAGCATTTCCTTCACTGCATTTATAGGCAATATTGTTTAGGAAGTTAAGCAGTCTAGGGAGAGAACTTCAATAGTTTTATACTATTTATACTAAAACATTTTTGTAACCAATAATTACAAGCCAATTTTCTGATTCAGCAGATTTAAATGCAATATGTGATCAAAATCTGAATCACAGATTTCAGTGATTATTCCTTCTTTTCATGATTTAATAAATCACTAGTCTGCTCTGTACCTGAACAGATTTTCTTAACACTGTCTAGTCTACAGGACAATAATACTGCTTCTATTAAACCATGATTCTGTATAGGGCATGCCATGCTCTACATCTGTCTTTTTACAGCAGGTGTATATGCACATACTCATATGTACACAGAGACACATACCAAAGTGATAATATTTTGTCTATGGGTAGGCTATAAAGCTCATGATTTTCACCCAAACTAAAGATTGTCACACTTCAAAATAATTTAGAGGGATATCTGAAAGATAACAGCTCATCAAGGGGTTCATAACATTTTTAATATAATTTTCAAGGAATCACCTGCTTATGTACCCCATTTAACCACAGACATGCTAAAAATTAAGTTTCTCTACCTTGTCTATGATTTCACATATACATATATATATATCATACATACATATATATATGTATTTTATACACACACTCACTCTGGTCAGGATGAAGTTCTTGCTATTCATATTTTCACTGAATAGGCAAAATCAAATTGTTATCCGTGTATAAGCCTGCGTATGTCCAAGGGAAGGTCATCAAACATTAAATATAATCTAGAAACCTCACCAGTTAATAATTCAACTGCTGGGAAACGCAGAAGTCTGTTATGTCAGGATGCAAATCTGTCTTGAATGATCCAGCTGTCAAAAGCTGGATTTATATGGATCTAGATATAAATTCAGATATGTATATATGTGGATTTATATGCACCTACGCCCTATCCATGGGACACATTTAACATCTAAACTTCAGATAAAGAATTTTTGAATTTTTCCTGTAGCAGAACTTCTCTCACAGCTTTCACTCACATCTCCTGAGAGACCCAAAAATTGTTCGCCTCAAAACATGTGACGCTGATTCCTACAACAGGGCTCAGAAGTATCTGGCATTGCAACAACCAAATGTACAAAGATAGTTTGAAAAAATATCCTGTTTTTAATATCATAATGAATTAAAACATAGCTTTATTTATTCCTGTGTGTAATGAAAAGAATCTTTTGTTTGTTCTTAAGCAAGTGTATCGAGCACTACTTTGATAGCCAACTTCTCCACCAGGATTTATGTGAGAGAGTGTCACTCCAATCAAACAGTCTTTAACCATGTACCTTAATGAGGTGAATAACCCACATATTTACAAACTAACAATTTTCATCCCATCAACTCTTATAAAAATGCGAATGAGGAGCAGACATGGAACAAGACCAAGATAATGTAAAACACATGGGGTTCCCACCTTTGCTTTAAGGAACCATTAATCAAACCAGTTTCCCCTAGTGACCTAAGGGAACAAAATATGAGTTTAGCAGTAAATTCAAAAGTTAGATTACCGTCTTGGAACTACACATTTCAGCATCTTCATACTTCAACATCTCAAGGTTGAGAAAGACTAACTTCAGACAGAACTGTAAGAAATTTTATAAACGAAACGAAAGTCTAAACTGGAAGCTACAGTAGATGGGGAGGGGAAGACAGCATGTGAGAGAGAAAGAAAAGGATATTACTGAGTAAAATCCAGTGACATCTACAATAGTTTTACAGCATGTTTAAGCCCTCTAAAGTTTTATATCTCCACCTGCCTTCCATTTAAACTTACTCCTTGTTAAGGAAAAGACGTAAGAAAACAGACCACAATGCCGGAAAGAACTAGATCAAGGCAATACATATGTAATTAAGCATGCCTGAAAGCCAGAAATATTATACCCCAAACTTCTGCACGTGAAAGAGATTTTTCATGGCATCAGATGATTGGATTTTGTTCAAAACACACAGTCCTCCAAGTCGCACTACCCCAGCAGCAACTGCAATGAGAGCAAACTGCAGAGCTCTTCAGGACACGGGTGCAACACAACTGCTTTATACCTTCTGTCCTCCTCAGAGAGGTCACCTGGCCCTGCAAGTGCAGCAAGAGTGTACGTGTCCCTGAAGCATCTTCGGCCTTTTAAGCAACCACAAAAGTCAAGATAAAACTGAATGTCCACTACTTACAGTGTTTCTCTTGAGCGATCAACATCTATGCACAAATGAAAAAGGTGCCTCTTTTTTAATAGATCGGTTTAATACTGAAACAGAGAGGATGAAGTTAAAAAAAAAAAAAAAAAAGAATACTCAGGATACTGAACTGAATATTTTGAAGCAAGTGCCCCAGCTGTGGGGAAAAGTGCATTTAGTTCAGCAGCAAAACAGCACAGTGTGAAGATATTGTGCTTGGACACAGAAGTTCCATAATGGAAGGAGGTACAAGGCAAGTCAAGATATAAAACCGAAGTACATTGTTAACCAACCTTAAAACTTACATATATTGCAGTGTTTAAAAGTAAGACACATTCATTTATTGTACAGAACTATAAGGAATCCTTAAAACTGCCCGTGGTAGTTTACGACTCAACATTGTAATAAAAATGTACATATATATTATTTCCTTGCCACTTAGCTGTACTGTTAGACCTCATGGAATTGTTTACTTCACAAAATGAAAACTGCTCTTCACTGAGAATAACTCCACATTTTTACCAATCTGAAAAGGTTTACTTGTGCTAGAAAAGACCAACCGCAAAAGGCTCAGTTCAGATATGTTACGCCTGCAACTGATAACTCAGGGAAGCAAGACTTAAATGAATTCAAGCTTTTTTTTTTTTTTTTCCTCCTCTCCTTTTTCCTTTCTTTTTCTTTTGTTTTGACTGCATCTTTTTCACCTGCTAGTTGTTCTGATGAGTGTGGTACACGAATCGGTTGATAAAATTTTCATCAGCAGAGGCATATAAATTCTAGATATGATTAAAACAGAGCAAATCAAAATAAAACAAACTCCAGTGATTTACTCTGACTGTAAACAATATAAAAACACCATTTGCTTCAAATCTCAAAATAAGTTAAAAGAAAATCCCAACCTCAGGACACATCACCCTTTCAGGTTTTGACACAAAAAAAAGAGGGAGGATAACAGAAAAGTTCATTATATAAAGGTTATACATTTCTCTTAACTGAAAGTAAATCTAAGCAAAACTACTTTTGTCCCTTAAATTTAAAATTTTGAGTTCATTGGCAATTGCTTTAAATGAACTGGTATTCCAGATTACTCAGACAACTTCCATCAAATTCAGCAAAGAAAACTTAGACAAGCATTTTTACAGAATAAAAAAAAAAAATCTAAATGGCTATGATTCCTCTATTAGCAGAAACACATAATGCAGTCTTAAATTTGCCTTTTTATATTATTTATATACTTTATATATATATAATATAATATGGATGACATATTATATTATATATACATACACACAGACAATTACAACATTAATGCAGTTTGTATTTTGTACAGTGTATTGGACAATCCGATTAGCATCAGACCATGGCACGATATGGTCCCTGCATTTTTAGGAACTGGATGATGAAGGAGGGTCCTCCCGCGACAATCTGAGGTGGAAGGTGGCTGAGCGGGCAGTTCTCAATGCTCATTATTGACAGTTTGCTGCAAAGCGCCAGCTCAAAGGGAAGGCTGTGCAGGTTGGGGTTGTCATTCAAATACAGTTCTTCCAGATTCTCCAGTGTACCTGGTTAACACAAAACAAAGAAACAATCATCTTAGGGGTTCACAGAGCTTACGTCTTTTAAGACTAAAGCTTGAAAGAAAAAGTCTGTTCTGCTTGGAGATTTTTTACTCTACAGAATCGATGCTCAGAGTGTCGTCTATTTTCAAGTACAGCAACCTGTAGAACTGCATTTGTTTTAATTTTCTGTAAAAATGTCTATTAAAATGCTCCTTTAGGTAACAGCTGAGAGCACAGAGAAAAACAGAGCTGAGACAGATTAAATCTCAATTATTCAGTCTAGCCCTTTGCAACTGCAGGCACATGGAATTTTGAATTGCAAGAGCCCTGACAATATTTATACCATATAGTTTCAATATACTTTTCGAGTAATTAAAACCAATGTATTAGAGACCTAAAGATATAACTATAACGTGCCACAGGAAGAAAGAGAAAGCTCTGCACAGCAGTGAATTTATTAAGAAGAACAAACCTGGATGAAAAAAAAACCACTACTGATGACAAATTTAACAAATCATCTTTACTACAGATAGTGTAACATGGATTAACCAGAATCTGGAAAACAGATTAATTTCCTCCTTCTTGAGGTTTCCAGTCCTCCACAGAAATTAAGTATCAAAATAAATACCTTTCTTTGAAGCACACTCAAAACATTCAATTCTTTTTTTTCCACAGCACTCCCCATTATTTATTTTGTAAATCATAAACATCTGTAAGCTAATATATTATTTCATTTTTCACAAGAAAAAGAGGAGCAGTCAGAGCTCAAGACATGGAAAATCAACAAGATGAAAAGTATATATATAGAAGAAATAATGGGAGATGGCTGATAATTTCACATGAAGCATAGACTCTGGAAACATCCATTGTCCGGTAATATTACGAATACCGGTTATAATAATCAATGCTACACTTCTAATAGTATTTCTAAGATATTTCACAGAATCACAGAATGACTGAGATTGGAAGGGACCTCTAGAGATCATCTAGTCCAACCCTCCTGCTCCAGCAGGGACAGCCAGAGCATGTGGAACAGGTAGGCATCCAGGTGGGTTTTGAAGACCTCCAGAGAAGGAGCCTCCACAACCTCCCTGGGCAGCCTGTTCCAGTGCTCTGTCACCCTCACACTGACTTAAGTTCTGCAGGTAGTTTACAAAGAATCAGAGCTCTCTCCACTAATACATGAACTAAATTATAAGGTCACTTTCATACTGAAGTGGTTTAATGTCCTTCTTATTCTGAAGCCTCTTCACAATAAGCAGAAGCTGCAATGGCTTTTCCTGGAGATGCTGAGACAGAGAGACCACGTCCCAGCTTCCCTCGTTGGCACATCCCTATATTTCTGACCATATCTGCTTTGTGTTGGTTCTCCCATTGTTTTTTGCCTCTATAGCAAATTCTAATTCCAAGACACTTTGACACTGTAACTTTAGTACTCAGAATGATGCTCTGGAGATGCCTGCAACTGCCTGTTTAGATGTTGGTCTGCTCGGTTTTTGGTGCTTTGAATCCTGCTTGGTCTGGACGCCTCAAGTAGACGGAAAGAATCCTACTCATCTCTTTCCTCCTGTAGATCTCCTCCTCTTCACTTCCTTTTCTCATCTCATCAAGATGAAAAACAATATGATGCTTTTACAAACGGAAGTATTGCAGGACTATCAGCAAAAATGTTTGTTTCAGCTGACGATATCCCTTACACCGGGTTTTTGTCTACACCATTAAATTAGAGTGACTAGGACCAGTGCATTTCCTTTCCTTTCTTAAACTGAACTTTTTGCAAGAATATTCAAGAATTCACTGATGAGACACAATCTTGTAGAAGAATCTGGAGAACCCTCACCATCCCAAGTTAATGTGCATTTGGCAGCTTTTTACATGAAACACTGCAAATAAGACAGATCATTCATTTCACGACAGTTCAACAGGATGATAAAGATCACAGACTGCAGTGCTGTTCCTGTGGCACACTTTTCACATCAGGTTCTGGAAATTTCATATGAATTTTGTGGCCTCTATTTGCAAGCGCAGTAGATGTCTATCTTGTGTGTCAGGAACTGCATGAAACCAGAAAAAAACTCATCTTACCAATTTCCTCAGGAAGGTGTGTGAGAAGATTCTCTCCAAGCCCAAGGTGCGTTAGATTGGTAAGGTGACCAATACCTCTGGGAAGGGTGGTCAGCTGATTATTAGTCAGAACCAATTTCTAAGAGAAAACAACACATTTTAAATAAAATAGTTTAGCTCGTATTTTTAAATAACAGCAAATAACAAGATCTGCAGCTGATAACTGATGGATTCTATCCCTCAGTAATTGAGCAACAAATGCTCTACTCATCTTCTACATTTCAGACTTCTATCAAGCACCACAAAAATTAAGAAGAGGGCAGTGAATGAAAAAAAATGTGCATAAAACAAGTGCCTTCCATCCTAAATATAAGCTTTTAGGAACATTACTGAAATCAGAGGATATTCCTGCAGTAGTACTGAACTCATGGCAGAACATGGTTGAGTTCTTTGAAACTTGTTCGTGAATCTGTAGAAGAAATGGTGGAGATAAATTCTGGAGGAAGCTGAGTGAGATGCTTCACTCTTGGTTTTTCATATAAATATATATATGTATATATGCCTTGAATAGTTTCCCTCATTAAACTCGCTTATAATTAAAACAGCAAAGTGTAAATAAAGGACATGAGATGTTTGTCTCTGCAATTATAGTTTCACCTGCAGATCCTTGAGGTAAGCTATCTCATTTGGCAAGGATTCCAGTTTGTTTTCCTCTAGATCTAACTCTCGGAGTTTCCGTAGATTTCCAATTCCATGGGGAAGTTTCTTTAGGAGATTGTTTGACAAGATAAGAACCTTAAAAACAAACAGAGACAAAAATTCAGTAATGCAAAGAAATGAGTAAGTCACAATCTTATTATATTTTTCAAATAATAAAGAGTCTACAATCTATCTATGGAGGCAAATTGAAAAGATTAAAAAAAGTCAGTGAATAACATGATTTTTATTAAAAAACAGTCTAAAGTAGTGTTACAAAAACACAGCTTTATGATAAGACTCTTTCAAATACTATTTTGCATAATGGTAAATGCAGTACAAAACCAAAAGAACATCTTATTTCTTCAAATGACCAAAAAAACACATTTTTTCCTGTATTCTCCTATCACTCTGTTATCATTCCTTACAACTGCCTCTTTGTTTTGCTTGCTAAATCTTCCTTGAAAATCCTAATCCCTCCACATGTCCCTCAGGTCCCTCAGTAGCAAACAAACATACGAAGCAAAGGACTGCAGCAGAACTCTGCACAGGTAGATACCGACCTTCCTACCACTCTGCAGCCTCCACTAGACATTAGCCTTTCACATTTTTGCTCATTTCCAAGTTGAATTATAAACACCCCAGACTCAGGATTACCCCAAACGATATCACAGTGGCCTTCCTTTATGGCCTGAGACACAGGCGTAACAGTAAGAGCAGCAACGCTGTCAACACACACCAAGAAACAGAGGCAGGGACAGAAGATGCCACCCACCCGCCACATTTGGCACTGCTGCTGTGCAAACACTGCCCAAAGTTTGGGCTCTGTATTTGATTCCTTAATTATGGAGAAAAAGGGCATGGAGAAGCCTGCGTGCAGGGCACCTGCGAGCCCCAGCCCTCACTCGTTATCTGCTTCCCAATCAAATCAATAAGAGTCTTAGAAGAAAGGCAGGCTAATTAGCAGCTATTAACCTCCTGTATCATTATTGTATCAAACTACAGGAAATTATTAATGCTTCAGAGCAGTCATATTGGTAACTGGCAAACTCAAACACCCCATTTGCTATTACACTTTAGCAGATTTTCCCCAGCGACTCACAGAGGCTCCAAATTCCCTTTAACGTTTCAGGGTCTTCCAAAAAAAAGCACCTCCGTGTCCCTGACTGTCTCTGCAGATGCTGCCTGAGGAAACAGGACTCGAGCACAGACAGGCCTAGGCTACGGTTTCCCCAGGTCCAGCTCAGTCCCTCCACGGCCTCAGCTGGGGCCACTCCTTCAACTTTTTGATCCCCTTCATTTACACACTGGTGTCTCTGGGCCCCAAACTGGGTTTGATCCATTTCAGTTGCAACACTAAGTTTCTGTTGAGAAGATTTTCTATTTAAAGATGGATATATACACAGAGAGCGACACACACGTGTACACACTTTGTGCACAGTGACACATCAGAAGGCTAAAGAACATCCAAAAAGCTATTTACAATAGTCATAAGCAGATGAAACCTGCCTATTCTAACCACATATATATTCATACTCATTTGACATTTTCTCCAACATGACCCTAAAACACCATAAATTAAACCCAATGGTAAAAAATCCTAGTTGCACAGATTCACCTAATTTTTTATACTTCACTTCTCCTCTTCTCACCTCAAGAGAAACAAGCCCAGATACGTCCTCGGGGATTTTTGTGAGCTGATTAGTAGCTAGGTTCAGTTCCACCATGCTTGTCCAAGTCCCGAAGTCCAATGGGAGCGAGGTCAGCTGATTGTCCTGGGATTGAACACATCAAACATTTAGGGCTTGCATTTACACAAGGTCGACAAGGTATCTGAGGGATTAAACAAACTGTTTATAAAATGAAAAACTGATAATAAAAATGTAGATAAGAACATTTTTATAATTGGCCAAATATTTTTCAAATTCCTTAGAACATAATAAGCAAATCAGAGTTACAGAATCAACTCTGTGTTACCAACGTGAACTGAAGTGAAATAATCAGAAGTACACAATTCTCAAGATTTCAAATGTCCCAATAGTTAAAACAATATTTTTGTCCTTTTTGAGTTGAATACAATGAAGGTTTAAATAATAATAATTATAAGTAATAATAATAATAAAAATAATAAAAATGAAAACACAAAAACAAAAAAAATTGCACTGAAAATTCACCATGACTTGCAAAGGTGCTATCAGCAATGTGCAAAACCCCCTAACATAAATTTGCTACAAAGAACATAGCAAACAATGCCCTAAAGCCGCCAGTAAATACACCTTAATGGCTCGAAGCAAACATATCTCAAATGAGCCTGAACATGTTACTGTTGAAAACGTTGCTACGAAATTTGATTTAGACCAAACACTCTAAAAAAAAAAAAAAAAAAAAGTAGGTTATTCAAACTCGTAAACACGCAGAACAACAGACAAGCACATGCTAAATAATAATAATGAAAACTAAGAAAGCATTTATGCTAAAAATATTTAAAAACAAGCTTGGTTACTGCTGAAACAGGTTTTATTATCCCATCTTTATCAGAACCTAAAACAAATCCAGAGATGATTATCATCACTTTCCCTCAGCTCTTCACTACACGTGGTGTATGCTGTAAGGTTCTCTTTTTGTGTGCTCTGCAACTACCACCAGAAGTCTTCAAACTTAGATTTGGAGGAATAGGTCCAAAAAAAAAAAAAAAAAACTCATTTGAACTCTGCAATTGGCTACGTTGCTCTCACTGTTCAAGTGCAGGAAAACCTGTCAAAATCTGAATTGAGAGAGAGACAAATCATCAACATTTCAGCAGTACTCCTCAGAACTCCTATGGAGATGCTGTATGTTATAGCACCCGAGTCCATTTCAGTGTCATCAATTTATTCCTTGGATAATTAAGATTGTTAGAACACATGGAATAAGAAACTCAGCTCCTCATTGACGTTACAAACAGCAGTGTCCGTGTCTCACCTTCATGTTCAGCTTACTTAAAACTTTAGCTCTAGAGAAAATTCCAAAGGGAATTTTATTGATGCGGTTGTGCTCCATGTTGAGGGAGTAGATTGTGGAGAACTGGGACGGGCCGCCCACAGGGTAGGACTGGAAGCAGTTCCTGGCCAGTGTTAAACTAGTCAATTTGACAAGGCTGGATAAAAGACCCTGCAGAGAGAAGAAAACCACTCAGGAACTTCGGAGGGGTTCATTTGAACACACATCCTTGCCTGCATGCACCTCGTTAGAAAAGCCTCCCCTCCAGCGCATCCCCAAAATACAAACAGTTCTAACACATAAGCCAGTGTTAAATTTGATAGAAGTTGTTAGCAACAATTTCACCCTCATAATCACTGGGCTTTATGTTATTTCTCCCTTTCTCCTTATCTACTAACAGATGCATGAGAGCAAAGATTTCACATTTAAAAGCTCTATGGTTTGTAAAGCCAAAGTCTGCTCAGAGCCGAGCGCGCGGCTTGGCGAGTACCAACGGCTCACGCTGCTCCTTCAAATGGGGGCTTGGTTTCCTATAGGAAACATCTACAGGGCAAAGGGAAGGAATTGGAGGGTTCAGAAGGGTTATCAGAAACCCAGATATTTTTCCCTCTCTTCAAGCATATTCCTAAGGAATACTACTCTACTTCTTTTTTCTTTCTCCCTAAGAAAATGCAAAGCAACAATCCTGGAGTTAAGAAAGATACCCCGGGTTACCCAATGCCTCTGCAGGCTCATTCTACACCTCTTCCTAATTTTATTAGCTTAAAAAATCTAGACAGCAGGGACTCTTGAGTTTATCTGGCAGCTACGTGCCAAGCAAGTTGCTGGAGCTATGGAGATGAAAATTGAGAGCGAAATTACAGCTAAAGCACCACCCTTTGCTTATCACGATGCCAGCTAGCACTCAGCTCTATTTGCTTAAGTATCACAGAAATTAGAGAGTTATGCATGGCATTATATGCCATAAATAATGCAACATCTGCAATCAGGAACGAGCAGTAGCAGGATAATGATTCCAACTGTACTCTTAATGTCGCTATGTCTGGGTTACAATCTGAATGCTGTGTTTATCTTGAAGTTTAAGAGTCTGCTTTTGAGGCTTTTACCAGGAAAGTTTTGGTTACTTTCCCTTTTCTAAATAGCTTGCTAATATTACCATAAATAACATGGATTAAGTAGGACTTGTCTACATCTCATAACTAAAAACTTCAAAGAATTGAAATACAAATCTCAGGGCATTTCAGCATATATCAGTGAAGCAGTTTTCTCCCCTAGGACCAAACAACAGATCTTTAAATCAGTGCTAATCATTAAAATCTATTTGTTAGCTATTATGACCTTTTATTATGAAATCCTGCCTTTACCTAACTCTTTATTTAACAGATACTACTCTTTTTCCTAGAGTTAGATGATCTCTGAGCTCTGCTACAAACACACTTCAGTGCTTCAAATGGATATTGGCATTTTTAAAATTCATTTTCAAATCTTCATCCATACAAAAATCAAAAAAACAGCTTAGCTAATATACTCTAATAGCCTAGAGTAATCAGGCACACACATTCGAAGGGAAGAAACGGAATTGTGGTAGTATAAAGAGCAATGCTCTTGGCATCCACAAGAACTGGGCCAGTGCTGCCTTCTCCCAGCCCAGCTTTCTAAGATAAAATATTTATTAGGCATTGTCAGCAGCTTCAGCTATGTTTTCAAATTCAGAGGTTTATTCTGCAAATGTAACTCTTTGCATCATGAATAAAAAGTTTCCTGTTAGACAGACTGCACTACTAAATTACCCCCCGCTGCAAAGTAGCAGCTTAAGTGTTAACATATTGTTGGCAAATACATGTGCAGAAGGCAGCACAAGTCTCAAGGAGTTTTTTTATTATGGCTGAATATATTTTAGAGCAAATAGTCACCTCTCACGGTATCCATTTGTGATTACACTGCAGTTGCTTTCGTGTCTTGCTGGGTTGGGCTACTTTAGCTTTCCCCGTAAAAGCAGCCTTGTAGCTCTCACTCATTAGCTTTTTCTTAAAAGACAGTTTTACCCAAATGCTATCATGCCTGTTCAGTAATTTATCTGAAGGAAAATAGTGACTGTACTTGGCTACTGTCAATGCTGTGCTTAATTGCAAACGTATTTAGCTTTTTTCCCCCCTCTTTGCATAGTTTCCTAGATTCCTCATTAAAAATATTTACTTAATTAGCAATATATGCACAATTCTCGTTTTGAATGGGTGAGGAGAACTTAAAAAATATAGTGAAAAGATTTTTCTCTATATGTTTAGCATCAGTCTCTAGAAACTGCAAATAAACAAAAAAGGTAGATATAATCCAGCAATCTACATAGTTTCAAAGTTGCAGATATCTAAACTGGTTTTTTGCTTGTTTGTTTTTTAACGATCTGTAACCAATTACTTGGGTCTCCTAGCAATATGGAATTGGAGACTACTAGGGCACATTTTGGAAAATTATAGCACAGGAGTATAGAAAAAGGTAAAAAGGTGACTAGGACTTTCTGTCCTCACTCAGTTCCAGAAACATGTCACTTCTACAGACTCAGAAAGTATCTCTAAAGCTCTTGTCTTTTCTCCTGAGCTCGAAGCAAAGGAGAAGGTGAATATGACAACCAAGGGCAGCCACTACAAAAAGGGGAAAAGGGAGAGAACTGCTCTTCGCCCCTGACCCTCGCAGGGGTGCTTGGAAATGTAAAATATAGTAGTATTTTTTTTTCTTTTTCCCTCTTAACCGCTGGATGTTGTGTCAATAAACTGCTAGATCACATTGGTGTCAACAGCATTCACCTTTTTACATTAAAATCTACATGCTAAGGCCAAGTAGCTATGGCAGATAGAGTATTCCTTAGGGCTATAATGCAAAATAAGGTACTTTTACACGGTCTGATCCCTCTGCTAAAGCACATTCCCTCCCACCTCAGCTCCCTGTGCCTCTCACCTCAGGTAGACTAGAAATGTTGTTGTTCTCCAAGTTCAGCTCATCAAGTTCACTGCACTTCGCTAAGGACTTCGGAATTGCCGACAGCCTGTTGTACCTTAGGCCAAGACGGCTTAGACTCGACAGATTTCCTACAAGGAAAAACAGTTATTAATGCACCATTAATACATCATTACATTAACACGAAGGAACAGGAAGAAGCTTGATCTATGAATCTTCTGCTGTCTCACTGTGCAAAAGCGAACAAGAAACACAAGCCCTCTACACCTCAAGCTTTTCAAATGGTGAAAGGCAACTGTCACCCCAAAGGATAATCCCAGTGTTTACAGCATTTTCTAATGCTCAGGTACAACACGCAATAAAAGTTTATATTGCATACTTCTTAAGTTTAGCACAGCACGGTGAGGAAGCAAAGCCTACATCCTACTGTAGATGTCCTTCTATCCTTACTCTCCTACCAACAAGCAACTCTTTATAGCTGTCCAGATGTCCCTTAAAATAACTATTCTTTAATTACAGATATCATTAGTCATGGTGTGACTCACGGTACCAAAACTTGGGCATACTTTACACAGTTCAGGTTCTGGCAAAACAATTTCCTCTACAGGGACAAAAACCCTTTTACCAACCTCCAAAAGCAACACAGTCTTCAAAAAGACATAGAAAAAAAATAATCTTCCAAGTTTTCTAAATGCCACCAAAGGAAAAGTCTGGAGGAAATCCGCAAAAATCTGGACAATAGCACACTTCAAAATATTTCCCAATATTGCCAGGCCGACAGTCCCGGTTGACATATATTTCTGCCAGGAAAAGAAAAAAATCCCTGCAAAACTTGCAACTTGAAAATTTCCCATCCGAAACTGCTTTTAGCCGTGACCACTGTAAACACTTGGCGAGTACTGAGGACTGAAATCAGCTTCTGAGGATGTCTTTGAGCTATATGGTAGCGAGGGCATTTGGGACTCGGCTGCAACAATAACAGCTTGAACTTCACTGAGAAGTCAGCTAGGGACTGCATAAAGGGCAGTGCTGAGTCTTCTGCCTTGGCCACGTGATTAGAAAACATGTCCATGCACAGACACACACGGCACTCACGGGAGCGTCTGAACAGGTTCCCACAATCAGGCCCTTGCAAATATTCACCATTTATACTCCTTCTTACAACCACTAGCAGGACATAATGTCAATCCTGCATATTTAAATACTGGAAAGATGCATAAAAACGGACTGAAATTTTAACAAAGAACAGCAAGAATACACAGAAGCTGCTCAAAAAAGATAAAGGGAGATCTGCACGTGCAGTCTGGCTCATCACTCTTTACTCACTGGGTGACTGACAGACAAATGCTGCACCCGTACGTGTGCCTGTACACCAACACAGAGCACCCTTCACTACTAAAACCCTGAAGGAGCCGCAGCTTTCGGGTCTCCACGGGACATCCGAGGGGATGCAGCAGGAGCAGAGCGCCAGGCCACACAGGGCAGCTCTGCCCCACGCTGTGTGTGCAGCTTTGCTCCCACCTTGCACAAAAACACTCCAGAGTTGCACTGCACTGTCATTTTCCAAGCCAGAACACCCCCTGGGCACTGCCAGAAAGCAGGTGTAAACAGCTTCTCTTGAGAAGATCTTATGGATGTTCCTCTACCCGAGCAATCTCTGTCCTGTGTGGGAAAGGTGCCGCAGGGGCAGCAGAGGATGCACCCACAGCGACTGCTTGACACCCCGCAGCAATAAACCCCGCAGCAAACGCAGTAGTCTCAAGTCTGCAGCTGTAAAAGTAAATTTTTTAAGTGAAATTCACCCAGAAGCCCAGGCCTGGAGCTCCTGCGTGTGCCCAGTCCAGCCCTGCATTATCCCACGCGATACATACTATGAAATTCCTTCCACCTGTAAGATTTAAGCCGTAGCTGCAGCAGCAGCAGTGACTCTATGGCTGCTCTGGGAAGGGCTGTCCTGAAACCCAACAGGATTGGAGCTGCTTGCTAATTCCAAGCCTGAATTTATATAGGACTAATTTATTGTCATTTATTCCTCTGCCAATGTTGTACTTTAACTTAAATATCTTTTCAACCTCAGAGTTTATATTCATCCATCACTGTGAACATATCCCAGGGAGTAACTGCCTGCTTTATCAGCTTTTATTTTGATAAGCTGGACAAGCCAGATCTCTTAGGCTGCTCTTCACAAAACAAAAAATGATCCTTCTAGCTCTTCCCTGCACTCAGCCTTTTTTTTTTCTGCTTGTTTGTTTTCCCTCTTAAGAAAGAAACCAGGAGAGGTCAGGATTTTGAGGAGGGGAGCACGTTCAGTGTGCGGGTTCAGCGATGCCAGGACTCGTCCCGCTCTCCTGGGAACATCTCCTGTCCATCCCAGTGCTGCTCCTGCTGCCTTCCCTGCATCCCTCTGCCTTCACCAACCCCTCACGGGACCTTTACATCCTACTGACATCTTGTATATTCTGTACTATAAGTGAGAAAATCCAGTTTATCAGAGGAATTACTGCAAGTTCCCAAACAGCAGACCTTGAATATCTGTACAAATAGATGTGATCCTCTCTATAGGTCTCTGAGCTCAAGAAGATCATCTGCTGCTCTTGCAGGTTCTCTCCACACGTACACACCTTTTCTTCTGTATCATCTCCCTTAGAGAACTGGTCCTGAAGGATTCGACTCTACCTCAGAATCTCTAACTTTTATAAATATTCTTAGATTTTGATTTGATTAAACTTTGCGTGTTACAAGCAGCTATTAAAGAACCTACTCCTCATTAGTACCCATTTCGTATTTGAGAGAGCACAGTTCACTAAGGGATCACTTTCTAAGGAAGATCACCCGCTGTTTCACATACGGAAGGTATCAGATGCCATTTCTAACAGACAGAAATCAAGATACATACAGAAATAATCTAATCCAAACCTCATGCCATTTCTCAAGAAAGCAACACACATTTAATACATAATTTAATTTACATTTAATAACATAAATTTAATACAGCACATTATTTAATCTTAACCTGCATCCTACAAGCAAAGACAGTGTTGCCACTATCCAGCCTTGCAGGCAAGATCTGAAATCTCTACCCAACTGACCGGGGGGAAACGCCTTCCTAAGCCAAAGCTTTTAGATTCGTAAGGGTCTAAATCAGCTTTTCCAAATCAATCATCTAAGAGCTCGCAAATCCTCTCTGTAACTTGCATGGCTGGAACATCCCATTTAATATCCTCTGGTTAATCTCTGGAGTGTCAGGAAGAGCTGGGAGGGGACGAGGGAACTCGGGAGAAACGCAGGAGGGGAGGGAATCCCTCCTGACCACTAAGTGCGACACAAATAGCACTTGACTTACAAACTCCAGATTTTATTGATGTTAACAGCTAGGTGTTTTTCATGTATTTTACTTTTTTTCTCTCCAGTCACCGGTCCCTCCTGGATACACCAGACTAGCAGTGGAAGCAGATCCAGACTCAAGAATCACAAGGTCAGGCAGCCCCACCACTTGTGCCCTGTTCAAAGCCAAGTGCATTAAATTCCTTCCTGCTCAAAGGCTAAAAAATCTCCATAAAGACAGGTTAATTTTAAACCTTTTTTTTTTTTAAAAAAAAAAAAAAAAAAAAAACTTATAGCACTTCAAAATTAATCTCTACCACCTCTGTGGGTTTCAGTGCCATCCAAAAAGAACAGGGCAATTCCTCTGTAGCTTCAGTCTAACTAGATTCCTAATAATTCCTCTCGGTTTCAACCAGATTCAGGTTTCCCTCATTATTTCAAGATTAAGACTAAAGCGTGGCTTTCAGCACTTACTTATTTTTATCCTATGAAAGACACATGCAAGGTGCTGGGAAACACTGAGTTAATGCATCTGAGATGCACTATACACAGCGCCCACACCAGGCTATGGAGCACACGGTCATAGCAAAACATTTCTGAAATCTCCTCTAAACTATGAAAATCTAACTTCATTTAATAGGTTTCATCCAAACGCCTGTAACTAACACACCTGCCTGTCTCCCCTCTGATGGGTTCCTTCGAATCCCTCTTCTCACACGCCTGCTTCTTACATGAAGAAAATAAGATTGGGGTCTTCTTTTCCTTTCTACTGCACATAAATCATTCTGAAAACACAAAGCTTCAGTTATATTAAGTCTAAACTTATTGGTCTCCATATCTAAATACCGTGTGATTGCATATGCATTCTTTAAAATAAACAATCCTCATCCTAATCCTACCATAAGGAATGTATATACAGACAAAATAGAAAAACGCACAAAATTGTTCCACACATACACACAAAAAGAAAATTCAATAAGTAAACAGAGAGTTAATAATGCAAGAGAAGCTAGTCTATTTTTACAGAAGAATACTGAATATATAACTATGTAATGTTGGATCAGGGATTTATTTATTAAGACAATAACAGAAAATTATAATTAGTTTGCATTTCCAAAAAAAGATAAAAAACATAAAAAACGCACATCACAAAGGAGCCAAAAGCAACAGGGACTTTTTGTTTTTTCAGATTTTCAATTAAATCATTAAGTTTTACTCAATTCATACTTTCTAAGACAAAGCCACTGAAGTTTATTTCATTGTATTTTTCATTGGTAGACATATTTTCATTTTGAATGGAATATTAAAATTTTTAGTAAAATTAAGATTCATATCAATGCAAGTCACCAAAGAACAATTTGCAACCATTTGTCAAAGTGTTTTGCAGAAAAAATAGTAAATATTTCTTACTGATAGATGTGTGTAATTTTAAAGTCTGCCCTGCTATATAGTGCGAGCATATAAAAGTATGCAGCACATGAAGGTATACACATAATTTTTTAGCTGGCTAAGGAAAGTGAGAGCAATTGCACTCAAACCGTAGCTCTATCTAGGCAAGTATCTTTTCTCTGGAAAAGCAGCCCCAGCAATGAGTCCTTCCCACTGGAAGGGACAGGAACCACAGGTTTCCACCCCTGGGCTGGGCAGGGCCAGAGCAGCTCCTGCAGCCCGCACGGCTGCTGCTCTTCTCACACACCAGCCCCTTGCTCCCGTTTTTCAGAGTCAAGCTCGCCAGACTTGGTCCCTTTTAGATGCATTTGTTAAGCCTGGTATAGTTAAAATGCCATTTTTAAGTGTTTCTCCTCCTCTACAGGGGCAATACTTCCCAGCATGGAAAGGTTTCAACTGCAGTTCCTATAATTTGAGCTATACCGGTTGCATATTCATACTCCGGCACATGCAATTCACCAGGCTTCCATCACCTATTTCTCCTAAAAGCACCCTGGTGATTTGGGAGGTAAAGACTGAGGTTAGAACAGGTTGCTGCAGTTTCACCCAGCCAAAAGGACAAAGTTTTCACCCTACAACCCTCGCTTCATGCAGCTCTCCTTCAGTTTTCACTCTGAAGCTCATCTGCCACAGTGAAGGGCACGGACTCCAGCCCTGAATATTCCTCTGATTTCCCTAACCATCCTTTGGCCTGTCAGCCACTGAAAAGTGTGTCCAATGATGTATTTTTTTTGTGCTTTTAGAGCATCATTTTGGAGCATTTACAACTGAGTGTTCTTTTTCCTATTAAAACGTCTGTTGCCTTAAATGTCCATGAATATGCCCCCCTTGACTATGGCCAGGCTGCACGTGTAAACACACCATAATAGACAATTACAAAATAGATGGAGAACTTTTTTAAATGTTGTAACTTTGTTTCTCTTGCATTTCTTTCTCAAATAACTCCTTGCACTTTTAAATAAGAAATTACAAACACATTTATACAAAATGCGCAAATTAATTAAATCTGCAAAGAAAGAACACTCACAATGTGGTATTTGCAGAACAATATTTTTAAACCAGCCTGTAATCCAACTGGCTAGCGACCCGAAATGCTTCACTCCACCCAAAATCTGCCTTCTCTGTGTCCCAAAACTCCAAGTATTAATTTTAATATAAATAGTGTGTTATTTACCTCCGCTTATGTATCTTTTGGATATCCCCTCTTATTAGTGTGCCAGCTAGGCATGCAGAGATAAGACATTGTTTAAATGAAAGCAGCTCACAATTTCCTCCCTGCACCCCCCGCCCAAAAGCCAGTCCGATGCGGGGGGGATTGCAACTAAAACACCAAGATCCCACTTTGATTTCGGTCTCTATTTGAGACTCTTGGAGTGTGCTAAGCCGCTCCACAAAGCGCATTTTTCTTGCGGGAAATGATCTAATATACCAAGTACTTTGCAATTTTCAATCAACAGAAATCCAGATATGAATGTATCAAGCCAATATCGGTAAAGCAAGACATGAGGTCACTTCCTGACAACTGCCATCACAAATTGACATTAGTTACTGTAGGAAAGAGCTTGTGAAGTATTAATTGCAACGAGGACTTTGTATTTGTGAACATGTTGGCTCTGCTACCTCGGTAATCCTTGTGAATGCCTAATCCCTTCCCTACCACTCCCTGCATGTCACCCTTCCACATCCCTTTGCCACCGCTCCTTTGCAGCTCAGTACTGCACCAACAGTTAGGAAACAGCCCTTTCTTAAATTTTAACTATTTTTATTAACAATCTTGCAGCAGGACCAGAAATCTCTGTGCTTGGACAGGCCAGCAGTAGATTTAAATTCCGCTCACCAGCTTTCTGGGCTTTGCTTGCAGGGCAGGGGAAAGACAGGGGCAAGGCAGGCAGGTTTCCAAACCAACCTGGCCCAGAGGGGACTTACTGGGATCGATCCTGCAGTACTGGGAAGTAATGGGCAGTACTGTGTTTTCTGTCGTGTTTTCCACAACAGGAGGCTTGCTGTATACTAAATATTTATAGTGAGCAATGCACCTTTGTCTCTCTTGCCCCCAGCCCGTGACATAGGGCATAAACAAGGGACATGTGGAGGGCGCTGGTAGGTGGGGGTGCCGTGGCCGGGCAGGGCGCAGAGGCAGCCGGAGTGACAAACAGGAGTGACTCCAACCCCGGGCAGCAGCCCCGAGCACAGGGAGCCAGGGGCTCGGAGCACAGGGAGCAGCGGGAGCTGCAAGGGCACGAGCAGCTCGGCAGGAGCCCGCGCCGTTCCCGGGGCCACATGCAACCCACCCCACGTGGCTCTCCGTGCTCAGAGCCTCCCGTTGAACAATCCCAACCACAAAGCAAGCTGTAATCTACAGAATCAAGCCACAGCTTGCTTTAATGTTGAACCCAAACTGCGATGACTAAGAAATAAAAGCCAATGTTGCTGAACTGGCTATGGCTGCCTTTTTTGTAGCATGCGTAAATGTAGGTTGATCATTATCATTTCAACTGGAGTTTATGTTTTTTCCCCTTAAGTATTCAATTCTGGCTGCTTCTGAACTGCGTTTTATGTGGCACAAATAATGACTTCTGGTTTTAAATCTCTCAACAAAAACCCTTGTGTTGGTCAATACAAAGAACAGATGTTTTCCAGTGGTGTAAAGACTGAACAAGCTAAGTTAAAGATAGGACAGTATATTGTTGTCTCTTGCTATTACTCATCTGCCTTTGGGCTTGTTTCAGCTATAAAGCTTGGAAATCTGCAATGCAAAGATACAGATTTAAACGTAAATAACTTCAAAAAATTAGTAAAAATGCCTTAAAAATGCAGTGGAAAACCAAAATAGCAAAAAAAAGATGCAGAAATTTAGTCTCTCTAGGTACAAATGACTCAACAAAAACAACCTAAAGTTACAATAAATCAAAAAAAAAAAAAAGATGACTCAAACTATTTTGACTGCATTTTCAGTAATTTCCAAGTGACCTAACCGGCTCAGTAACTATTGCATGCTCCTCTCTCCAAGGGCTTTTCCTGGGAGCCACGCTCCCACGCCGCTTTGTGAGTGAGATTTTTGAGAAGTTTAATGCCTGCAAGTCGTTGAACATCTCAATAAATTATACTAACACTCTGTACAAGAAGCAACCATAGTGGCCTATTAGCTCTGACAATCAATATCCATCAATTTACTACGTTTTTTTCCCCACAAATTCATCTGTAGAACCACCTCCCTAGATATGACATGTACAGCACGTGTAAACTTTATTTAAAACAGCTTTCATTAAGACTGACAAAAAAAATTGCTACAAAAATAAGGCTGCGCTTACGAGTGGTGTAAGTTAAACGCAAATTCCAGATGGAAAGAGATCTTGAGAGTTTAAAAATATCCTCCACCCAGGAAGGAAATTTAGCTATAGGGGATACTTCAGCACTGTAAACTCTGTTCAGGTCAAACTTGCTAAATAAAAAGCTACAGTCTCTTCATAGCCAAAATTTTCTGCTAAAAGAAAAACTGGAGTATTTAAGTAATTCCTTACTCTTCTGCTTGTTCACACCTTCATTATGCTCTAAATTATATTACAAAAGGTTTAAATATTAAGTATAATTCAAGTGGCAGCATTTTGTTTCCAATAAATATTTTTGGGACAATTAAGAGCTTAAAATCATAGTTATTGTCTTGTTTTTGTCTTTTTCAACATGCAGCAGCATGCATCTTCTGTTATATATTCAAGACAAATTTAACTAAATTAGAAAGTTATCTTTTGTTGTCTCATCCTGTAAGAGGTTCTGAAACCAGCTAAGAAAGGCTATGTTTATTTTGGTCTTTTATTCTCAAATGAAGCTGGAAAACCCTGCGTTTTACTTCATTAGAGCACAACAACTTTGTAGACTCCGAGGAAAGTTTTAAAATTGTTCTGCTAAAGAGTGTAAAACAAATAATTCATTCAGGATGTTTATCCTTTTAGTCTTCTCCACTTTCCTCTAGCTGAGGATGACAGTTAAAGACACTGGCCAAAGCGTTACCTAATAGTCCTTTAGCCTTATAAATGACCAGTCTCACTACAGAGCGGACAGACAAGCTGCACATATTGACACAAAATCACAGAACAGCTCAAACCAGAGGCTGAAGTAAGGGATTTTCTTGCGACTCCTATGCAGAGACAGTGCCACAGCCCACACCAGAGCTAGACTTAACAGAATCCAGCAATCTGGAAGCTACATTGGAAGCAACACGTGCATCCCGCACTTTCGACCTCAAGCGTGAAGTTGTCCCGAGCAGAACGCCATTCATCCTATAGTTACCAATCAAATACTCATCCTTGAATTTGTTCCTCTCACTGAGCGTGCTGAAATAGAGATTTACTTTGCTCTGCCCGGCCTCCTTACGTACCTATGGTTTCTGGCAGGTCCAGGAGCTCATTGTGCTGCAAGTCAAGATTGGTGATCTGCGTGCAACTTCCAATCTCCTCTGGAAGATGTTCGAGCTGATTGTGCGCTACATCCAGCGTTATGAGGTTACACAACTCACCTGAGAGCACACGAGAGAGGCAAAACATCAGATTCTTCATTTTAATGCACAGCTGTATTCACACTGGGATAAACTAACTTCTAGATGAATAGGGTTAGAAGGAATCTAAGCAAAACATCTAATGCTACCATAAAAACCACAGATACTAAACAAGGCATTACAAAAACCTAACTGTATCAGTTAGATGTAAAACCTGAGCTTTTAAAAGTTGAGACAGGACTCTATAGATTCTATGTAGAAATCTTATCTATTTACTCGTTTTCCTTTTACAGTTTAGGAAGTTTAAAACAGCACAGAGCCAGTGGTTTGCATTGAGTTTGGAGAAATTCAGATATCTTTTTATAGCAAGAACTACTTTCAAGCACACAATCAACAGTTAAGAGATGTCAAAATTATTTTGTTGACAACACAGAAAGCTCCCCCAAAGCCCTGGGTGCTATTTTTAATCATTACAGACAAGGCAAATTATAATAATTAAACTCTATTTTTATAGATTATTATATTTTAAATATGCAAGCACAGTTGAAGCCAAGAATTACAAGCAAAAGGTTTAAAAAAAAAGGCTGAGCTTGGTTAGAGTTTCAAGCCACTTTACACTAAACATTCTCATTCATGAAGTTCAGGAATTTAAAAGCTGAACTAGGCACAACTTGCTACCTACTCCAGTGGCACTGATTTTAATGACAAACAGCCTGCATGCAAAGCAGGAGTTGGTTGGGCGTGTTACTTAAAAAACAAACAAAAGCCACCAAAAGGTGTGTGTGCAGGTGCAGGTACCCAGGGGTGTGGGCATTTGTCTTCTTTGCTTCTCATGGAGGTGAAATTAATGAGTTACTTTAGTATCTTCAGCTCTCTCCAGTAAAGACGAGGTCACTGTATTCATGTAAAATCCATCACTCCATGAGGACGAACGAGGAAGAGCAGCACATCCTGCTGAGGAGTGAACGGCTACTTTGAACCTATTATGCTATGTTACATTTTTGATGATCCAATCCTTAAGGATTTTCCCAAGACCTACAGAAATACGCTGGGCAAGCTCTGAAGCACAGGCTGCCAACCATTAGATCAGCCGGTCCCTTCTGCTGGCACAAACCATAAATACGTTGCGTTTTAGCAACTCAGGAACTCACCCTCTGTATCTAAGTTGCAGATGGCCTATTTCCAGCAAAAAGAAAAAAAAATCAGCCCCAAGAGTTTCACCATTCTCCCTTCCTTTAGATTAGTTATATACAAATGATCTTATTTTGTGCATTTATTGACCCAAATGGGGACAGATCTTCCAGAAGATACACAACCCCAGAGGCAAGTCTCAGTCCCACTGCTACTTTCACGACCACCACGACTGCGGAGCAGCGCAGAGGGCAGCAGGAGGTGCAGCAAGAGCAACAACCAGACTCTGGAAGCCACCGGCCTTGTAAAACACAAAATAAATTCAAAAAACCTCCCAAATCTTTACTGCAATATTCCCATATCTTTTGCAGAATTCATGATTAAATTCAGACCCGACATTCTTTTTTTTCCGCCCCCCACCGCTTGTTTTCACTTCAGGCCTAAACCAACGATGTCAATTCAAAACCCAGCACAAATTCCACCTCATCACACTGACTTCTCTTTTAGTTGACTTTTCCCACTCTGCATCTGCTGAAGTTGAGGAGACGCTTGGTTTTTTGCACCCGTTTTTCACACCCTTTTTGCACTTGCTGAAGACTCTGACAACAGCAAGGCCTGTTTGTCACAAACATCTCAATACCTCATTCTGGAAGAAAAGCAAAAATAGATGTCCGTGTTTGTTTAGCCAATTAAAGGCAAGCTAAAATTTTGGGTTAATTTGCTGTGCCATACTTAATATAGGCTGTTAAACATAGTTCACACTGAGCACTAAAGAAACATAATAATACTTGTGGTTTGACAACGTGTCACCAAAAGGGTGCAAAATGAAATGAAGCTGCATTTTAGTACCCGTTTTCCCCTAAAAAACGGGAGAATGAGCTGTTGTTGGCCCTCAAACGCCTCAGTATTTTCTTTGTTTTGGTCTCAGCAATCCAAGTCGATGTGCAAGTCAACAAAAAACACAGAAAATAAAAACTATCCTTTTTTTTCATAATTTCTTGTACTATAACTGACAGGGGGCAGGGAGAAGCCATTGAAACTTAAGGTATGTCAAGAAAATACGAAAAAAATATTTACTACCTGGTTTGATAGGAAAAGAGATTAAAATAATGTCCTCGTGTTTCTCCATAAGTAAGATGATCTTCACAGAATGTTTAATTAAGTCAACTGTTTAGCGTTTAAAAACTTATTTAAACCATTCTAAAAGGTAAACGTTTTTAGACAATTTGTATGTATTTTTCAGAGAATGTGGTGTCTCTAAGATTCCCAATGACCTTCCAATTAAAACCAGCCTGCAGCTGTCAGTGTCCTTCAAATGAGTCACAGATTTTCTAGTAAGAGTGGCCATCCCTTGGTGTTCTTCCCGTGCAAACAGAGGTTAAGCCCCCCGGTGCGGCCAAGCTCAACCCACACGCTCAGCACCAGAGCGTGGCGGGGAACAGACGGGTATTTCTCCATAGCGAGGCAGGATCACACCCCGGTACGGAGCTAGCACGCAAGCTGGGCGGGACAGGAGCACCAAGTTACACGTCTGAACTTCTGCAATTGCTTAAAATTATTCTTGCCCATGTAAAAAATAAAATCCAGATTCACGAGATGCAAACATGTTAAATATATACATATATATACGTACACACACAAGAGTAATGTAGGGAGAGAGGCAGTGGCAGAGCCTTCCGCGGCTCCCCCGCCAGCTCACTCGCTGAGTAACACTCTCCGAGAGCAAACACAATTTGTAACAGAACTTGTTTTCTCCTGGATTAAATGCATGCCTGCATATGCTTAAGCAGATTGAATATTGTGAAATCCTTTACAACGTGATAAACCCTGCGCCAGATGACACAGCAGGAGGATAAAGACGTTACTGGAGAGCGCAGGAGTGCGCTGGGCCCTCACTCTGCTGGTCAGAATACTGCTTTTAAGTTGACTTTTTTTTCCTAAGAAAGACTAAAATTAAATTAGCAATCTAAAATTAGCAATGCTAGCGACAAATTACAACTTTCCCGTGACACTAGTCGCAGATTTTTTCCTCACTAGATTATTTGCTAGCAAAATAAGGTAAAAGAATTTTCAGTCCCTAGAACTATTTGATGTTGTGTCCTGATTCTAGAAAAAAAATAAAAACAATTCTATAATTTCAGAACAAATTGACCTTTTCCCCCCCCAATCAGAATTGAGTACGTCTCTAAGAGCTACCGATGCCACTGAGACAAGATGCACATTTTGCTGCTTACTGCCCACTACACAAACAAATGATTTAGAAATAAGAGCTACTTGGACTAGCACCACACGAATGCAACTTAGGCAGGAAAGTTACTGAGTAAAACAGCATCATTTTTACAGAGTCACAAATGATTTTGCTTTCTTTACCAAAGTTAAAATATTCATATAAATAGGCATTACGTGCAGGAAAATATTTAACCTCACACAACTTGTAGCAGGTTCCAGCTATGGGAAGCACTCAAAAGCACTGAAGGTAAGTGCAACAAAAAGGAAAAACCTAAAAACCTGGTTTAAAACGAGCTTGTGCAGGAGATACAGAGGCAGACTTTCTGTTATTTTTAGTTAAAGAAATGAAAATAAAATTTAAAATATGCTGAAACAACACTTCAAAATCTGAGAAGAAAGTCTTAGCAAGGGCTCAAGGCTGGATCTGAGGCAGGTGGTAGAATAAACTGCCAGAAATCTCCAAGATAAGCAAGGACAAACGCAAAGGACGTTGCATTTGTAGCCGCACAGAACAGTGTAACGTGGGGACCAGCTGCTGCAGGAAGCCTGTGCAGCCGAGGGCTGAACCGGGGTCTCCAGTTGGCTCCTGTCCCCGCGGTCTCTCTGTGACCAGGACTAACCACATACTGAGCAGCATCAGCAAGAGCAGGCTGAGTACAGCGACCGTTCTCCTTTCTTTTTCACTTGTAAAAGTATTCAGAAAGTTTTTAAAAAATGATAATAAAGAAGCTTAAGTGCTGGACTTGTAACAAGCTGTCAGTATGCACTGGAATTACATTGGGGGCATCATCCCAATTAGCTTTGCACGTAGATCAAAAAGGCAGAATTTCTTAAATATTATCCTAAAGCCAGTCTGAAGAAAATGCAGCTAGAGGAGGAATTCAACCAGCTGACAAGATATGAAACCAATTCCTCGCTTGAGTTTTCACAAAAACTGGAACCCAGACACCAAAACTGCAGCTGTCCCGAACCAGGCTTTGCTGCAGCTCAAGAAAGCGGTCAGAATCAGAGCCAATACGGAGCCGTTTTCTCTAGTTTCTAGAGAATGGCACATACTATCAATGCCTGTATATATTATGCTCCTGTTCCTGACTTTAGTCATATTAGAATGCAAATAGAAAATAATACTGCAAACTTCTATTTGCAGACACTAGTATAACAACGAGGTCCGAGAGAAAATTGGGTTTCTTCCAAACTGCTCAAGCAGAAGTTCTCAAGCACGAAAAAAAAAAATCCTTAAAATATATTTCTCTGGATTCGAGGAGAAATTAAATTCTGAGTAGCACCAAGAGCTCTGCAACCATGGCACCACTGAATGAGGAGGAGCCACGGGCAGGAGGGAGTAGCAGACGTGCATTAATGCAGCTGCATGCATCTGGTTTGCTGTTTCCACTCCTGAAAACCAAACAGGTGCAAGTGTTGTGAAAAGGAGTTTCAAAGCAGCTCAGAAACCACACAGAATCTAAATATTGGGTAAATGGGAGAAGGGAGGAACAGAAGACAGTCTCAGAGATGTTCCGAGTCTGGTGTAGGCAGATTCCCTGAATTACAATCTAAAAATATTTCCCTTGCAGAACAGCCCTGACCAGATTCTCCATAGAGTAAGAATTGCATTCACAGACAGAAAACACAATATTTGGAGTCTTTAGCAACTTACAGAA